TGATAAAACAAATACGTGAAATAAAAATATCTTGTGAGCAAATTTAAATGATGGTGAATACTAACTTCATGTGCTTAGCCTAAAGCTGCTTCATCTTTGATTTTTCTTATCTGCAGAAATAATTAAAGTAAGTAGCATAAGACAATAATCTAGGAGCATAAGACAATAATCTAGGAGCTGTGTGAGAAGACAGCATAAGAATATAAAAGAAGACAGAAAAGTGTTCCCAGGCCAGGCACGGTAGGTCACACCTGTATCCCAGCACTTTGGGAGGCTGAGGAGGGCAGATCACTTAAGGTCAGGACTTCAAGACCAGCCCGGCCAACATGGGGGAATCCTGTGTCTACAAAAAATACAAAAGTTAGCTGGGCATGGTGGTCCAGGCCTGTAATCCCAGCCACTTGGGAGGCTGAGGTAGGAGAATTGCTTGATTCTGGGAAGTGGAAGTTGCAGCGAGCTGAGATCATGCCACTGCACTCCAACCTGGGTGATGGAGTGAGACTCTGTTTCAGAAAAAGAAAAAAAAAAGTATCTCCAAAATAACCAAAATAAGTTCAAGTGACATGTTCCAGTTATATAAGTAGAAAATTAATATATTGAGGCTTTTGTTTTATCTTTAATCATATACAAAAGGGTATTTACATGAAGAATAATACTTTAAAATTATCATTTCTAGTCACATAATCTGACAGAGATGACTCCTGACATTCTACCCTCTCGCCAAAGTACCTTTCCCCTTCTCCTGCCCATTGGTTTAACAAGTTCTTTCTTTTCCTATGGGTCTTAGTTGAAAACCTATTTCTTTAGGGCAATCTCATCTGGTTTTCTAGAATGTGTTGGACGACCCTGGTTTACATTTCTCTTGCATGCTGTCCTTTCTTTTTATAACAAGCATCGTATTTATATGACTATTCAACTTCTTTTGACTGTAAATTCCATGAGGACAAACAGGGTCCTCATGTTTTATTTGTTGTTACATTTCCAGGCCTTAGCATTGTTCTTTGTTCATACTGGGACTCAATAAGCACTTGCTCAATTACAAAATGAATAAATGTGAAAATTCATTAATAACAATAGTCACTCTAGGTTGGAAAATACTTTGTTACTGAAGACAAAACCAGTTGCACAATTAAGAAAAAGATAAAAAGCAGAATGGTTAGACTGATATTAAACACTGATTAATTATTTCAACATTCTGTTTAAATAGCAGTTATTTACATATTTTATTATTTGATTACTTTAGAGATTATAAATATTTATCAAAGAATGTAATATGTTAGAACATTCATCTAAAGTCCCTCATAATATTGACATTCATTCAAGAAGCTAGAATAGTTTACAAAAGAGCCCAAGTGTTTCAGAGTGTCTACATGGTATCTAATGAACAATTTACTTTCCTCTCAATAGCAGTTTTAAGTCTCTTATGTTAACATTATACCCCTATATATTAACATGTAGTCGACGTGCAGAAGATACTAAACTATGTGTCAAAACAAATAGTAATGAAAAATGGGGAAAAGGGGAGATTAATCATGAGTTCTTATACCTGTAAGTGATGTGCTTGTGCTGCCACTTCTGTCCTGTCAATGCATATCGCTTTCGACGAATATGAAATTTGGAGCTACCTCTTGTCTGGTCAGGTACACCGCATCGGGGCTTCTTCATCCAGCTGGGGGGGGAAAAAAAAGCAGTATTTTCCAGTTATTTACTAATAATCCTAATCATTAAATTCAAAAGGAAATCAATTAAGAGGTTAATCTGAGATAGTGATGATGAAAATGGCAAACTATAAAGTAAAGGGAACACTGAATTTTCTTGCACTTTGAATCTAAGTAGATAGCATAGTTTTTCCTGAATTATCAAGAAACACTAGTTTACTATTCAGATCCTTTAGAAAATTTTCTTCTCTCTGATTTATTTTGAGCTAACTGTAGACAGAGGTACTCTAAAGCTTCTAAGAATTTGCTGTTAACAAGGTATATAATCTCGGGCAAGTCTTTAATTCCTAGTGTTACTCATAAAATGCCACTAAGGAGTATTCCACCTTTAACATTCAAAGATTATTCTAATCTATTACCTGAGTTTAAATGCCACGATTCAAGAGGATATATGCTACTCTGTTCTAATTTACATAGCAGTCAACTGTTTGTTCAAATAAAATATTCATTTCTCTACCTTTTCTTCTTTACATTTGATCATTATTTCATTTCCAAGCAGCAGCCACTTGCTTTGAATATTTGATAAATAACCAGATTCAATGCTTAAAAATATTTTTCTGAATATGAGGTTTTGCACTCACAAGACTAAGGTTTAATGTATTTCAATTTGAAAAGGAAATGCTGCTTTTAATTTATTAATCTTAATACATATACAGATAAAATAGTCTAATTTCTCTTCTAGAGAGTCTCATTGGACCACTGTCACATTTTCTATCTATTCTTGCATCTTATCTAAGTAGAAAGATTTTCATGATTTGGGGGGTAGTTTTTCTTTAGTGCTTTATGAAGTGACTTTACTGTTTATTAGTCTCTTTATTTTAATAACTACAAAGGTAAAGCAGAAAATTCATAGTGCTACATGGTTCAGAAAGTAAAAATGAAAAACAATTTTTGGAGTATTTGCATTACAATTTCTACACTTTTTAAACGCAAAAGGCGTGATCATAGAGATGACTCTCTAAGTCATTTACACATTAAGTAATTTACATGTAAAGTAATTTACATGTTATGCAACAAAATCAAATAATCCACTTTTACAAACATAATAACTTTCTGCATCAGTGAAATAATAACTTTTACTTCTTAAGAAAGATGGCACGTTTCCAGAAAACATTAAAAGATTCTGCTTTCTTATTCTGACCCCAGTAATGTAGACCATGCAGTTACCAGAATTAACAAATTCCATCCTAGTTTAAATGCAGTGTAGAGTTACTTCAGAAAATCATTCTTCCCCTTTAAGTCCTCGAATTAAAAAAATACATCTTGTAAATGATAAATTCTAAGAGGCTATCCAGCTTTACGGAACTGAGTTCCCAGGAGGTGAGATCAGAGGCCTCTCATTTTTAACTAACACTTCCAGGGTATTCCTAAACACAATGAATTCGAGAGATATTTCATTATATTGTAAAACATTCAAGAGAAGGGGTTTTGGTATTCTCAGTATCTTGCACAACTCCTGGCATAGGAGAAATATCTAGATACTGATTTAACTAACAATTAAGTATTAATGGTGTGCCTACGATGATTTAAGTTGCTTTTATATGTGGGTATTAATTATATTCTCAAAAAATTATAATATTCCTAAGGTAGGTACTTATCTCATTGAAAGTCCTGGGAGAACAAACAATATGTAATTATGAAATATGAATATATTTACTTAATGTGGGATATGTTTACATTCACATTTAGCTAAGGAAAACATTTAAGTAAGCAATCTGTAAAAAAAAAAAACAAACCTGAAATGGATAGCTGGGTAAAATCTGAAACAATAGAATTCACTATTACCAGAATAAAATGTATTTTCAATAAGGGTATAGTCTCTAAAATTACTTTAGTATGTATAAAATTGAAAAATGAAGGCAGTGATGTCATGCTTTCGTTGGAGTCAGTAAAAGATTTCTTTGTGAAGTGTATGCATCTTCCAAAGAACAGATTTTTTTTTTTTTGAGTCCGAGTTTTGCTCTTGTCACCCAGGCTGAAGTGCAATGGCATGATCTCGGCTTACCACAACCTCCACCTCCTGGGTTCAAGTAATTCTCCTGCCTCAGCCTCTCGAGTAGCTGGGATTACAGGCATGCGCCACCACACCCGGCTAATTTTGTATTTTTAGTAGAGACAGGGTTTCTTCACGTTGGCCAGGCTGGTCTCAAACTCCCGAGCTCAGGTGATCTGCCTGCCTCAGCCTCCCAAAGTGCTGGGATTACAGGCGTGAGCCACAATGCCCGGCCCAAAAAACAGATATTTTAGGGAGGAATATTAGGTTCCTGTGCTAAAAGACATTTCTGCTGAATTCCTTATTTAACTTTTGGGCTTTTGCCCACTTCATATAGTTGTTTGCTTGTGTTCTATTTGTTCATTTACCCATCTCATCCTGATTTATTCATCCTACAGTATTTTTGAGCTTTTACAACGTGTTAACATATATAAAAGAAAGTATGGATTAAAAGATGAAGAAAGAAAGAGCCCCTTCCTTACTGAGCTCATAGCACACAGGTAAGACACGTATCATTTAAAAAGTACAATATAATGGGGTAAGTGCTCTCACACCTCCATCTAGATATCCTGTCATCATCTCTAATGTTATATGTAATACAAAGAAAATAATGACATTCCTACCCCAAACTTTCACCAATTTATCTGATGCCTCATCTTAACTGAAAGCCTTAGCATCTTCTAATGCCCACACCAGATATCCAGGTATGATCCTCTGCTACTCTTTCCTCACATCCAACCAATCACAGTCTAGTCTCTTTGACCCTCAAAATGTCTCACATCTCTCACTCTCAACACTTCCTTCATTTTCACTACTAACAATACATTTTCCCAAAGCAAAGGTGTGTTCTCTACATGTTCTGAGCATGAAATACCTTTGTAAAAAGAATCTGATTTAGGTCCACTTAGTGAGGGTGTCCCCTGTCCTCCTTCTCAAAATCCACTCGAGTTTCTACAGAACCAAAACTCTTCCTGCCCTTATATGCAGTGACCTCTCTCTGGACTACTTTTCACTCCTTGTTCACCCTGAGAATCCTAATTATTCTTTAATAGTCAGCTCACATAGATATAGTTTACCACCCCAATGCAGCATGTCTTATAATGTGTATCCTGATTTGTATGTGTCTGTCTCTATCTGCCACTGACCTGTGAGTGAGGGTAGACAGCCAAGCACGAGGTCAGTGCCTAGTGAAGTCGCCAATAAGGAACATGAAGCAAATGAACTAAGTCTGTATGTCATTTTGCATAAACTGATCATTTCGACAATCCTACATATTTCTTGAGGACTTCATAACTTTCTCCAACTCTGCGCTTTTAACAAATGATTATTGCAGAGATAGTACGTGGACACTTACATAAAACAAAATCATGAAGTAGATAATTTACACATAAGAAATAAGCATAACATATATAATATAATACCAATTAATGATTTAATGAAAAGAACTCTGAATGAAGATTGGTAAAGTTGAGAATACTCCCTGTTAACTTCACCAATATTTATATGTAAACATTCTGGCACGGAAATATTAGTGGGTATCAAAGGATGTAAAATACCATAAATATGATCAAAGCACATCACACTACTGAACATGACACAGAATCTGAGCTAAATCAGTCTTCAGGCTTTTGTATGTGACTTTAAACATTTGATTTCATAAGCAGGCAGGTCCTTTTTTTTTTTTTCAGATTTCTTTCCCTTTATCATGAATTTTTTTAAAAATTTTTTTTATTTTTTATTTTTATTATTATTACACTTTAAGTTCTAGGGTACATGTGCATAACGTGCAGGTTTGTTACATATGTATACTTGTGCCATGTTGCTGTGCTGCACCTATCAACT